TAAGAGATTTCTGAATATTCTTCTCGACGTATCGAACGGCACGCACAGAGGCATAACGAGAGTGTCAGTGCCACCATTAAAAATGGACGTAAATGGATTATGTCAGAGTCCTTTTCTCTTTTTGCCTTCCCCTCTTTTATTTCACTCGTGTCAGTCGATATTGTCGTGCGTCTGTTAGTTCGTGCCCGAGACAAAACCGACCGGATACAAACTGTCTCGACCAAATTGATCGACATGCCTGACTGCCTCCCGAGATCCTACGAAAACTCGAGAAAACAAGAAAAAGAGGTGGAGAGTCGAGCTGTAACACAGCACGTCGACCAACTTGTGCGAAAGTGCGACTACTTGTATATTGAGACTCCTGTAAATAGAATTTATCTCCGGGTCGTGCACACGTGACATGACACATTCGTATCTTCGGCGAATCATCGCCTGTCTGCGCCGGAAACCTTTCGCGTCATCAAATTACAGTGAATATCTAAGAAGTACTCGTAATGACCTCGTCTCTGATTAGTTGGGCGGGAGAACCATTATTTATATCAAAAGAAAAGGACCCAAGAAAATATATAAGAGAAAATTGTACGGAAATTTCACGCGAAATCATTTTTACATAATAATAAAGTGGAATTCGAGAAACAAATTATGTATTCCACGTCTTGCACGTCATCTTCTGCGAGCTGCAGTCATTTATTTCATTATCGACAAATAAATGGCACGCATCTCAATCGGAGAACGTTATATAAAATGAGGATAGCGCCAAAGGAATACTTTTCAGAAAAAAGTAAGATTGACGGCTATTCGCTATGCTTTGAATACGTTCCACCTTGCGCTAAATTGCATCCGCTCTCAGTTATATGCGCGCTCAATCCGCCTCCTTTTGCCCGGTCGCGAATTAAAGGGAAATCGAGATCGCTGAACGGCGCGCACGGGGGTCATATTGCCGTACAAAGAGTCGCGTTTCCAGAGCGCTTTCGGGTTGACCTAAGCAGAAAATGGCGTATCTTCGTGACAGCGACGAAAGGTCAAAGCCACTGAAAGCTCGCTTACGCTGCTTACCGCCTGGCAAATTGTGCTTGGAGATGTTTTATGTACCGCCTAGCTCGTCGTAAGCTTGCACTCTCCCTTTTTCTCCCGACGGATATTCCTGCAGGTTGTAAGGGAAACAAGCAAAAAGTCCTGGAGAGGAGCGCGCGCGCGCGCAAGAGAGAGAGAGAGAGAGATGCTGCCCCGTCTCGTTCCTTTCGCTATTCGTACACGCTGATTTCTAAGCTGGCGCAACATTGCCAGCGCCGTCCTTTCTTGCCACGTAATTTCTCTTGCCTGCGGTAGGAAGAGCCGAGATGTTCTTGCATCTGGAAATTGTGGGACGAATTTGGTTATCTCGCTGCAGATTGCGTCGATTGTTCTTAGAGACGTGTCGTGAAAATTTCAGTTCAGTTTTAGATAGTTTGAGCTACAAGACGATTAAAAACTATGTACTCGTAGGAGATTTCTGTCTCCAAGCGAAATGCCTCGAGTCTTTGTAATTTGAAAGACACACGCGACAAAGAAATCAATTGTAAAGTGATATATAATGTAAACTCGAGTCTAAAACCATTTCCAAATTTAAATTAAATTTATTAAACGTAAATAACATTGTTATTAATCATTATTTATCTTTTTATTAAAGATTATAAGAATACTATCGTAAGTTGGAATTTTTGTTCGCGAGTAAAGCCCTTCCTTTCTTTTGCTTTTCTAATAATGAGAAAGAAAAAAAGAAGAACGATAGACACTGAGATTTCTGTCTGAGATTCGCGAGACGTGCGTGTCTTTTATATCTACACTCTGCAGTCAGTCAACTTACTATTGGTAGAGGAAAAGAACATCTCTTTAATTAAGCACCGTTATTATTATAATCGTAAGTAATTCTGCGCTAAATGTAACCCATTTATTTATCATATTACCGCCGCAATAAAGTGACACGATAGCACGTCGAGCACGTGATATTCCTGCACTTGTAATCTTGGTTGCAAGTCGAGAGTTCGGAACTATAAGATTTTCGTGGCTAAGTTACGAAGGATTCTGACCCCGAGGGGCCAAACGTAGGAGCTGCAGGATATTTAATTTTCCTCGACGGAGGTGCACTGTGTAGATATAAAAGGCGCGAAACGATAACCACGAAAGGAGGGAGAGGAGAGAGAGGAGAGAGAGAGAGAGAGAGAGAGAGAGAGAGAGAGAGAGAGAGAGAGAGAGAGAGAGAGAGAGAAAATGTACGATAAAACAGACGTATAGAAATACGCGAGCGTATTTCTAATTCATGCTTAAAAACCTCCCATTTCTTGTTTTCTCTAACTCTTAAATAGCAAAATTATCTCTCGGGATGTCGATTTTAGATAATTTTCACCGTAACATTTTTAAACCTGGGGATGTAAGAATTTAATACTGCACTTAAAAATTTTCACACAATAAAATGTTTTATAACTTCTTTTTTTTCTAAGAGACTTTAATAAAAAATTATCATATGCTTCTTACTATAATTGTATATAAATTACAGAAATGAAATTAATCGACGCAACTGACTATGAAATTTTCTTTTGTTTCAAAAGAACGATATTTCGACCACAAGGTTTCGGTCCTTTTCAAGTTACAATTTAGTAATACGAGCCGTATAATAAAATTGCGCGTGATCGTCGCTAAAGAAGCACGTCATAATTCGCTTCTTTAACGAAGATCAAACAAGCAATTTTATTATGCGACTCATATTATCAAATTGTAACTTGAAAAGGACCGAAACCCTGCGGTTGAAACGTCGTTGCTTTGAGACAAAAGAGAATTTCATAGTCAGTTGCGTCGAATAATTTCATCTCTGTGATTTCCACTGACGATAAAAGGACTTTAGTCTTATGCAAGTTAATCGAAAATAAAATATCTATAACGATTATTAAAACAAGTAACAATCAATGAAATAAGATTTTTTGCGGTATTTCCGAAACGCTATGTTGGCAGCATTTACTTGAGAACTCTTTCAGAACACATTAGATAAATGCCAAAGAATAATACATGATATTCCTGTTATTCACACATGCACACTTTGTATCAGAGTGTTTTGTAAAGAATCGGCGCGTGCTAGATGCAAAATTATGAAATACAGTATCTTATCTTCTTTTTCCAAGTGAGAAACTCAAGAGAAGCCCGAGAGCGATAATAGAAAATGGGGGCAAGTTCTTGGTTGTCGTACATAGCGCGTCGGATCAGAAGATCGACCCTTATCAGCCGCTTAATATTCGGAACTTCGTCTACCCAATGTCCCCCTCTCGTACGGAGGGATCATGTCATTCTAAACCGAGGTGACTTCCAGAAGGATGCGATGGGGAATAATTAATGAAAGGGGTGAGAGCATTCTCTAACCGGAAAGAACGTACGTTTAACGATCCGCCGTTGCCAGGGTTAGAAGTCCGAGCGAGGGACGTTGGGGATGCCTGGTAGATGTGCTAGTCGGAGGCACGTACTGCTATAATTGTTGGGGTGGCTCGGAGACAACCTTTAACGGCCGTCTCAAATACTACCCCCGTGGGCCCGGGGAAACCTAATGCGTTCTTCCAATCCGACCGTTATACGTGTGCCGTCGCTATCGATTAAACAATATCGATGTTACGTCAGCCTCGAAACGTGTTCGAGCGATTCGATAAAATCATTCGCCGCGACCGTCTGACAAAATTTCTCTCGAGTCGAGGGGCGCTTTATATTGAACTCATACATGGCATCTCTTTAATTAAGAGGGAGGCGTTGCGCAACGATTGAATGAAATAAAGATTGAAATCAGCGATTTACATGACGAGATATTTCTATTCGATACGGGGGAGACGAATGGAAATAGCTATTGAATTATGATGAAAATCGCATTTACTTCTGAATGAAAAAAAAAGTGTGAGATGTGTTTTAGATTTTGTCATAAAGTTAGAATATTGGAATAATCCTACCGGGGCGATTTAATTCTCAGCGAAATGTCTGAATTATACATATATAACTTATACCTTTTGACATTGCCACAATTATGACGTGATAATCCACAAAATCCGAAAGGTTAAACCGCGGAAACCGTTTATTATCGCGCGTAATAGGCGATGTTGTAAACCACGAAAATGTAATACCTCATTTGTAATGCCATACACGCTGACATATATGCACCAAGCTGCGACAAATTTCAGATTACACTACAATTTTGATGTAACGGTGTGGTAATTCAGTTATTATCACAGGCAACGTGCTTGATCGATCAACAATTGACGATGGAATCGATCGAACGGAATATTTATATGCGACACGGAGCGACAATATTTAACGTTTGCGCGGACGAAACGTTACACATTACGTGTGTTTGTGCACGGAGCATTATAACAATGGACGCCCGAACCGATCGCCGGCGCGTTACACGCCCGCGCGGCCACGGAAGTTATTGTTAAATTCGAAATATTTCCCACGGATTGACGGCTAAACTAGCCGGAAATGAACGTCGCTTTTTAAAGCGAATCGGACAGCGGTATCAGGGGTTAATGACGGACGACATAATTGATCAAATAAATGGATAGTTGGATGCCGATTAACCGAGAGTCGATTAATCGTCCTACCGACTAATTGCCGTCATCTGATGAATTGAGGTCGACTGCCTCCGATCGCTCTTCTCCTCTTCACTCCGTTTCGATTTCAAAGCGTACCCTTCCGAAAATATCTAGTGTAACATTGTGGAAGAACATCTTGAATTAAAAATTGATCAACCAATGGAGGGAAATAATTAAATTTTTATAAATGTAAGCTAAAAATTTCTTTGAGAGAAACAACTTACTTTAAGCCTTTCTTCGATATTAAATGCAATTTACTACGAGTGTGGTAGAACGATAATATTGCCCTAAGAAAATGGGCGTGCAATTGCGATAATCGTATCAATTATTCAAATCGGCAAATCGATCTGCCGAAGCTCGGGTGGATGAAGACTAATCGAGCATTCACTTTGCTTGTAGATCTCCTGGATACGTAAGAGGGATTTGCATATCCTGACGTCATCGACCCTCGCTTACACGGGGGACGCAAGATTTTCCGTTAAGCACCCGGAATCATCCGACGAATGGACGCTGAGGATCGAGTATGTCCAACCACGGGACGCCGGGGTTTATGAATGCCAGGTTAACACCGAGCCCAAAATGAACTTAGCCTTCATGTTAAAAGTCGAAGGTAAAATCAAGGTCGTAAAGTTTCTAGAAATTCGCCGGGTAACCCTTTCATAGATCGTTTAATTCGATAACAAACGTAGTGAGATTTTTTAACCAGATTTTATCACGAGACAAAGAGAGGGAGAGAGAGAGAGAGAGAGAGAAAAGAAAAGGAAAAAACTCACAATCAGTTATTCAAAATGCACTGCTGTATTAATATATTTGAAAAAGTATTAATATAGTGAAGATAGATTTAAAAAATTTTATTCTAACGTTACTGGCACAGTATATTACGTTATATGTACTTTATAATTCCAAATGGATATTTCATTGTAATTTATCGTTGTATAAATTTAATAATAATTTTCAATTATTTGAATTGAAACGAACGAAAAGCTATGAAAGGGTTAAATTAGATCCCGTAATAACTATATGCCGTTGTAAATATATTTTGCGTAATTTACTAATAATAGGTGAAAGAATACCTGAACGCTTTCATAAGTGTCTATCACCTGATTGATCAGGAATGACACTGCTGGATAACTCGAATACGCACCAGCATGACCAAAGTGATTAATGCTTCCGCTTGCATGTCTGTAACGTGAGGAATATCCCAAAGTATCGATTAGCTTTGTTGCATCTATTTCTCCGATCGAGTAATCGCATAACATTGCAGTTACTTTAATTACCAGCGCACAGTATCGATTTCGTCCTTCAATACGTAAAGCACCTATATATGAATGTATGTGTATATACGATCGCTTAATACAAATATTAATAAAATATATCTCGACAATTAAAACTTGTCTAACAAGAGGGTTCGTTTCGGCGCGTTGTCGGGGAAAAGGTTCAATGGGATAAATTACAATATTCATTGTATTAATATTAATCTTTACAGGATACAAGCATTCAAACATTTTAAAATGCTAATATTTTTTTTAATCGTCAAATTCAATAATATCATTTTGATTATTGAGTTATCGCTTGAAACGCGTGAATTTGAGAGATTTTGAACACAGATTCATTTAAATATGTTATATTTCAATGTCATAAATTCCATTATACTTGTTGAAACATTTTAAAAATATTGGAGAGAATCTCCGTAATTTCGAGTTCAAGGGGGTAACCACTTGATGTAATCATGGGACAGTGTTCTCCGAAATCATTGTGAAAATCCTACAAAATTCCCTATGTAATCGTTTTGCTTTCATTTTCAAGTTTCTTCTCTTGTTAGACAATAAACATTAAATTTGAACATTTTGTCAACTTGTTTTCATTTTCTCAAAAAATTTACTTCTTTTGGTAAATATCCAAATATATTCCTTAGTTCGCACCTATGAGCGCGTATTATTCTTTTCATAATAAAACTGAAGTAGTTGCTGCTATAACAGCAGTGAGTTACAACGTTCACACACCTGTGCGCGCAAATTTGGGACAATAAACAGTAGATACAAAATTACTTCTCGTATTAAGACCACGGTTAGACTAGTGGGAAAAGTGGGAAGCGAGGAAACACATTTTCTACCTGACCGAATACTACACTCTTAACCGAAATTACCTCTGCAAACAAATACTTATTAATAAAATAAAAATATGTAATGTTTCGAGGAAATCTAACAGCTCTTTGAGATTTAACAACGTCACATATTTTTAAACGTGCATATAAGAAAACTATTTGCAATTAGATGAAATTATTTGTAATCGGATGAAGCCGTATGAGACCTAATGAAATCATGTAATCGGCGGGACAACATTTTCGCTAGTGGTTACCCCCTTACTCGAGTTATAAAAACGGACGATGGAAGGAAACAGAGGAACAACATTCTTTGTACTCAAATATCTCGCAGGCATACGTGGTCCATGTATACCGATAGCGCTTTCGACATTAGTTCAAATCCTAACCCCCGAAACAATAGTTCTTGGCGAAATCGATTAACTCGATATCTTTTCTGTCCTCCCATTCCAGAAAGTGCCCCTGTCCCTGCCATCACCACACCAAACGCCATTCACCGGACGTTCAACTCAGGTTAGACTCACGCAAAGAGCAGACTCCTTTTCCAAGCTATTAAATTTGCTAGCTGCTAGAAGTATTATTTTACAATTTAGTTACATGCCCGTAACGATGCATGAACGGTTTTTCTTTTGTATATTTGCGGTCAAGCCGCCCGATGGGTTTCGCTCGCCAATGAGTTGAGGTCGTAACACGAGGAAGGGGGAAACAACGGACAGCACTCTTCATTTAGACGCCGTTACGCTCGGGACTGTCTGGCAAATATTCTTTTTTTTTTGTACAGATACAGCTGACGCTAACGCGCGCTAATTTTCCGCCCTAATATTGCGAGTCGTAAATATACCACGCGTTAAATGCTCGGTGGAGCGGCGCGCCGGAACCTTTTTTCGAAATGAAAGCCCAATGCGAGCGCAATGAAAATATCCTTCGCGCGATACTCGGGCCCGGCCTCAACTTATTTAGACTCGTAGGTCTTGGCTGTTGGAGACAGTTTATCGATTTTTATACATTAACTCTGTGCCCTAAAATTTAGGCTGGCCTCTCGTGATTTTGCATGTCTCTTATTGCATGTTTTGATGTGTGTTCCATATAACTTTTTTAAGATAACTGCAGCAATGATTTGAATAATAAGTAAGTACTGAACTGTTAAACATAATTGAAGTATATCCTTCTTTGTCGCGCGAAAATGTTGTTGATGATGACAAATGTGTTTCACTACTTTTATGTACTTTTTCCTCATATGTCCTAAATTATCGTTCTTTTAATTTCAAACATATCTATACATAATTACTTTCACAAATTAATCCATCTCATTATCAATTTAGTATTGCAAACATCATACAGATTGAAATAATAAAATTATTATTAAAATGATTAAGTTTCAAGTCATCGATTGCAATGAAAAGTCTCTAACTAGAATGTTCAATACGCGAGAACGTATTGCTTTCATTGGTTCATTTAATTGGCAACATTTATAAACCCATAATGTGCATAAATTTTAAACCCTAAACAGAATCAATAATGTCCCGCAAATAATATTAATTAATAACCAACTAATAGCTCGCCGGAAATTTCATCTAAATGTGAAGTAATATTGTAGTCGAGTGTCAATTCAAGTCATTTTCATTTCGCTATGATGTATATGTGCAACATTGAACATGTTAATTAAGCTAATTACAGATACGTGTTTATTACATTCGCAGCAGTTGCTTTTCAAGAGTTAAAAAATGGCGAATATGATGCACAAATTCCTTCCTTGGTGATAATACGAAACCGGCAATATATAATTTTCTAAGATATAATACCGCATCATAAAAATTCACAATGTTTTTCATGTAAAAATATATATACAAGGAACGGAGAAAAAATTTCGTCAACTAAAATATTAAAAGCACAGTGACCACGTTGGTGGTAACAGTCTTAGGCATATCAAGCTATAAAGTGTAGTTATAATATTTAACCGCTTAAAATGTTACACGAATGAAACGAGCAGAAAGATATCTCGCTTCTGTAAAATTTTAGGTCGCGCAAGCAAGTGAATATATTATCGATGAAGGGCGCGATTCGGTCTCTCCAGACCGAATCGTAGCCCGTCGTTTAACGCAGATGGATACGGATGCGGAATATTTAAGCGTACGGTTTCCAACGTGTGTTGCAGCCGCTCAGGCGACGATCCTGGGGCCGGAGGACGTCTACGTGAAGAAAGGTAGCACGATAAGCCTCACGTGCGAAGTGAATGTGCGAAGTACACCGCCCAGTAGCGTTTCCTGGCATCACGGAGTGGCCGTAGTGGATTTCGACAGTCCCAGGTACAAATCGTAAGAATCGAATTCTCAGTTGCTCCGCTCTCTTCTACACTCCCTTCTTCTCTTTCCCTCACGCACACGCGCTTACACGTACGTCCGTATATTGTAAATATATACCTACACATATCCATTCGATCGGCGGATATTACTACTCCTCCCGCGTAACCGACGGAGATCCCAGCAATGTTTCACAAGTCGGCCCGTCTCGTCAAACGAGGAGGGAGGCTTCGGCCAAGTTTTTCGCGCCGCTACTTTGCGGTATCGCCCGATCGAGCGGAAAGCATCGGAGCACCCCGCCTTTAATCTTTTCGTCAGCCCGTCAACTCGGGGAGGGCAGGATCATCAAGAGTCGAAAAAGCAAACGAACCTTGATCCGGCAATTTTGTCCGGGATTAGTTCAGAAAACGCTTCGCGCGAAAAAAAAAACACGTAAAAGTAGCTTATTCCCTTCTTTTTCCTCTCTGCAGAGCGTAACGTGTCGCTTACAATGCCGAAAAATACTATAACACTACTCGTTACGCTGGGAAAAGTTTCCATCGAATAAACCATTTTTAAATAGTGTTTCCGATGGTTAATTTTTACGATTACATTTTCCGATCAAATTATGGATGTGCCCGATGAAAGTTATCCGACGGAATGCAGTTACTGATGAAATCTGCTTGAAAAACCGATCATATTTTTCATCGGATATAACCGTTTGTTGTTACGCAATTGGATTATCCAATTATATTTATTCGGACATTTTTCTCAGTGTAGAAATGTCACGGTAGATTCGCGATTGTCGCAGGTTTAGCGTACGTCGTACGTAAAGGCCGAATCAGACTAGCAATTTCCGACTCGGATTGGATTGGGATTGGCGATTGACAACTATCCTCTAGCCAATGAGAGCACTGACAAAAATACCCGATTAAATATAATCGGGTTATCCAATTACATAACAAACGGATGTATCCGATTAAATTGCATATCCGATGAAAAATATGATCGGTTTTTCGACCGAATTTCATCGGTAACTGCATTTCATCGAATATGTACATAATTTAATCGGAAAATTAATCATCGGAAACACTATTTAATTGGTTTATCAGGTGGAAATTTTTCTCAGTGAGTCGATTCAATCGCTGGCTGCTTTGCTCTCATTGGCTAGAAAACAATCGCCAATCACCAATCATAATCCAATCCGCGTCGACAATTGCTAGTCTGATTCGGCCTTAAGTTTGAAAGACAAACGTCTGATAAAAGTAGAGTAAAGCCTTTTATTTGCGCACATTTGTCAGCGAGTGTTTGACAATACGCGTTACCGTTTATGCATCGTACACGATTGCGCTTCTTGCCGACGCTTTGTTCCACAAGCTGCGCCCCCTCCCCGCAGAGAGAGAGAGAGAGAGAGAGAGAGAGAGAGAGAGAATTAATGACAAAGTAACATTGTGTGTGACGAGAACGGCGCCAAAGTATCTGCGATAATTCAGTGTACACCGCAGGGGCGGGGTTTCCCTGGAGACGGAGAAAACGGATACTGGGACGACGAGCAGACTACTGGTGACACAGGCCAGATTGACCGACAGCGGAAATTACACCTGCATCCCCAGCAACGCGAATCCAGCGAGCGTAATGGTCCACGTGCTGAATGGTAAGCGAATTTCTGTTTTTTTTTTAAACTCCTTTTTATAACGCGGACTTATCCGGCGGCCCATCATTCCCGGCCTCTCGCGACCGACGTCCCGGCGTCCCGGATGTTCGGATACTCAGAGCTGCCTTAATGACATATCGCGATGGAAATGTCTGAATATCCGCGGTTGAAATTTTCAGATAACCGCCCGACGTGGCGCTGGGAACCTCCATATATTACGAGCCATTATCTGGCCAAGCCGGTCCCGCATGACGCGATAATTCGCTAAATTCTCGACCAGCGACAAACGCGCCACGACTAAGCGAGTTTTTTATTATTACAAATTTGACGGATATGGTAATTCACGTTTCGATGTATCTTATCAGGTTCGCTTCTATTCGTAAGAGCGGCAAAACGATTACATCGCGCCCGCGCGAGAAACTGCAGGAACGTTTAAATTGCAAGTTTATTACTTTAAAGATCAATTAATTTCTATTCAGCAGCACGACATGCCGCATGCAAACCAGACTCGCACTCGATAAACAAAGTCGGAGGCAAGTTCTCAACAGTTTACGCGCTCCACGTTACAATGTAATTCGCTTATGAACTAACCGAATAACAAGAATACCAAACTGCAATATTTTATCCGCCGTATTACCTTAATATTATTGAACAGGTCGGCAATGTCTTCTTTATTGCCGCAGCGCTGCGAAGTTATTGTCGGGGCGAAATCGAGGATGGAATTAATGACTTTTTTATTTATTCGCATGAATTACGCAGTGTTTCTTGTGCCACGTAATTCGATATACCATCGACTCGGTATAGTCGGATTTTCCTCTCGCTCGCTACCACCTCCTTTTTTTTTTCTTCTTTACGCGGAGGAAGCACGCGCGAGTTGAGTCGAGCTGCTGCGTCATGTGCACACTCTTCGATAAACGTCGCGTGCACATGCACATTCAAGAGCCATTGCATGCGAAAAAATCCCCAAGCACCGGCGTATAAACATTTCCATGTCGGCATTCTTGTAATACCGCATTTTCATGTCCACCGCATCACGCGATTCGATCACAGAGTTCACGGTTAACCGCGTTGTTTTCGATTAGAGCGCAACCGGATTTGCATGATATTTGGTTTCGAAGGAAAAATTCCCGACCCCCACTCCCTCTCTAAATTTCAAACAAGTTTACTCAATCGAATATGCAACTACGCGTTAATTTGCGTACTTCACTTGATCCAACATTTCGATTTCACTTGCACGTGAATAACACTGTTGAAAGGCATACCAAAATACAAAGCATGAAGAAGTTAAAAGTTTGAGAATTTTTTTATGAACGTAATTATCAAATTCATCTCATATATTATATCATTTTTATATCAGTGTGCTTTTTCAACACTGTATCTCTGTCTTGAATACAATAGTTTGGCACAAGTTGTTTCTATTGTATTATATTTTCTCTTTTATTGTATTTGTATGCGTTCATACTTTTGATTTCTTTTCCCAGTCATTCGTTCGATTTTGTTATATATTATTATATTACAGTGAGACTATATAGACACAGATATGTTCACATGAGTCTCCAAATGGTGAAAGCCATAAAGAGAGAGTGAAAAATATAAATTTGACATGCCGAAAGTGAAAGAGGACAATCACGATGAGCAGTAAATAACTAACTAAATTCAATAAAAAGTTCCATATTGGACATTTTCGCGCGAATACCTGCGTTTGGTTCACATTGGCCTACTTTCCCCCACCAATTTAAATTCTTTTTGTACGTTTAGTAGAATATTATGTAACTAATTCAATGTTATTTTTTTTTAAATCTTGAGCGTTTATTTTATTTATTTCATTATACTTGCTTAAGCGTTTAATTATTGCGAAACTATTTTGCATCGCTTGAGCTTGGCGCATCCTTTTTCGTTGAAGCGGGACGTAGAAATTCAAAATGTCATCCCTTTCATTATCGCGCGACTCTTTCGAGGAAATTTCAATAGGGAGCTTTCGAGGGATGGCAAAATTTTCCAGCGGAATTGTGTTCGCGCGACCGACAAATTTTACATCAATAAACGCTCGCGTATTCGCGATGCAAGTTTGGCGACGGGAAGCCAGCGGGCTCCTGAAGTGTGACATTCGAAAGGGACGGCATGCGTTCATTCATCAAGTATCGAAATCCCCCGTCATAAAGTTTGACAGGCTCGTATATTGGAGTCGCAGCAAGTACTCGGCGCCGCACGCATACTCTCGCTTTTGATCTATTGTCAGCCGGCAGCGCTCGCGATAACACATGTAATATCTTGTTCGGCAAGTTCACCAATCCAAGCTGTCAATCATCGCGAGCGTGCGGCCCCGGCGCGCGTCCCGCGAAACTCGTGCGCTGCAGCTGCAGTTGTTCGAGATCGACATCTTTTGCGTTGCCTTCGCCGTAATCAAAGTCAAGGTTTATAAATATTTTCGAAATAAATGGATTTCAGTAAAATCTGCACACTGACATTTTTCAGCAAAAGGTGTTAGATGTATGCGTGACAAACGTACGAAGTAATTTTCAATTAATATCCAAGTTTATCTAGAAAGATTTTTTGACACAATTCAGAGTCGACTCTTTCTTGACGAAACTAATCCGCTTTTCAAATTTTAAACTTTAGCATAATGCAACATTTTATCCTTCGATAAAAATTTAAACTTCAAACTTTGCAGAATTTTATTTTAACACTTGTTAGCTGCGAAAATATTTAAAATTAAACATTTGAAAATCCTGAAAAAGTAATATTTCATAATGCAACGATTAGCGAAATGCTTACGAGATTAAGCACGATGTGAAAATTTGCGATGTAAAAATTGCAATGTTTTAGTCGATTATACAGTCCATCATATTCGCAAGATACTACATCATCATCATTTTATTCGCGCGATACAAGCCGCTCAATATTCAGCGAGAAAAAAAGAGACCGCATCGATATTCCGCGACTTTCGTCTCGCTTTATTTCGACACCGATGCCGCGTGCGCTCTGGCCAGCAATAAATTTACAATACAACCGGCCTCTCTTCGATTCCTGATTAAATTAATGTTTTCGAATTCATAGCACCCCGCGTCGGGAGTTACAAAAATCAACAAAACCCCCCCGGCAACCGGGGGCAGCAGACCGGCCGTCCGCGTACGCCGCGGCGTTTACACGGCAATCGAATTGCAGAACTTAACAAGCTTTCTTCGACGGTTTCCACGGTTTCCACGCAACCCCGCGTTGTCCGCGCGCGGCGCACGGCGCGCTTTCCGCCCTTCGGACCATCGAGACATCGATCGCGCCCACTTTCGTCTGGGAACGCCCGGCGTACGCGCGCTCCGCTTGCGGAGCGCCGCTTCCGGTGCCGGATGAAAATTAATGCGGCACAGTTCGTCTGCATAATTAATTTATAGGGCGCACCCGGTCGCCGCGGTCGGCGCATTGGCCATCGACGTTATTTCAAACACAGCTGATTACTCTGCAAAATTGACCGCAAATTTCAATTATTTCTCGATAAACCCGTATGCGACCCGGGGGCTATCTGTTTTGGCACGTACTATCTGCGCATTAACGCGATTACGCACGCCGGCCGTGCCCGCCGTATGTCGGCATTTCGAGCGTCGGGCCGGTGCCATTTTTCGATAGCCAGGCCCAGGTAAACGCGCCGTAACGGTGCAAGCTCCGCCCGATGAGATTTTCAATTTGCTCGTAAATCGCGGTCTTGCCGAAGGGACCGGTTACCGCGTCGCGGAACCGCCGTTACACGACCGTGTACCGCCGCCGCGGCCGATCCGTGATTATCTTTATTGCCGCCGAATGTTGCACGCAACGCGGCGATACCGCCGTCATAGAACGCGAAATTGTTGTTTCCCGCTACGAATGCGGTGGCTCGCCGTAGCTGCTGTTATTGCCGAACAAAACGATATTTCACTCGCGGTTCGTACCACGGCACGCGTTTCGCCCCTTTGCTAGCCACCTTACGTACCTACGTTGAGCGTTATTCCTGTTGGTCATGACGTGAAACTTTATAGTAACCCGCGGAAATCGCACCGTTGATTTTATAAATCCACCGCGAACACATCGTGAGATATCTTTGCGAGATACGGCACAGGTGCACGGGAAAATGCTGCCGTAGCTGAAAACTGCACGTGGTAACTAAATTTCGGTTGTAAAATATGGGCAGCTAATATTTAGTTGCGATAGATCAATATTTTGCTACTGTGCCTATTGCATTGGGTGCGGCAGTAAAACGTTTGCTGTGGTTTGGAAATCTACACGGAGAGAGTTTTCTCTTCAAATTTACCTCGTACACGGCATTTTGAAGAACTATATGAGAGTTTTTTTTTAAAGTTTACCATACGTTTTACTAGTAAAATGTATACTAAGCATAATTACTAGTGAAATGTATGGTAACATTTCAAAAAGCTCTCATGAAATTCTTTGAAATGCCGTGTTGTCTCACGATTACAATGTTTTCAGGATAAATTTTAAAGGAAAATTCTCTCCGTGTATAGTTACGGCAGCGAAAGATTTTTAGCAAACCACGATTAACTGTGGCAGCGAAAATTTGGTTTTCAGGGTGGTGTTACTGAAAAATATAGAAGAACCTTGAACATTTCGATTTGTCCAAAATGCAAAACTTGTAGTCGACCAAGCGGTAAAGTTTAGGTGCTTTATTTACAACGTTTCGATCTAATTCCAGATTAGGTATCGAACACAGCTCTTGCAGAGAACTTAAGGGGATCCTAGAGTGATTCTGCACTTTTGCACCTTTCTAACCTAGAAACTGTCAGTTCACGGAAACATTTGTGTAATATACAAATTAAATGGCTTACGTGTACAGATCGAAAGCAGCTTGCTATTCCGGCTAAATGAAAGAACAATATGGCATCACTAAAACTAAGTTTGTAAAGTCTAATAAAAAATAATAGTGAGCAGCACACATGTACTACATGTACTGAATGTGTGTACTGCTCACTATTATTTTTTATTAGACTTTACGAACTTAGTTTTAGTGATGCCATATTGTTCTTTCATTTAGCCGGAATAGCAAGCTGCTTTCGATTCGTACACATAAACCATTTAATTTGTATATTACACAAATGTTTCCACGAAACAGACAGTTTTAAGTGCAAAAATATCATAAAATATTACTTACAAAATATATATTATTTTCACAGTTTCTCTCTTTAGATTAATATTATATTCTTTATTATTGCATGTCGTAATGTCTGACTTTCTAATTTGTAGTGTTAAAGTTTAATTTATAAATATTAAAAGACATTTATTCCTGACATTGGAAGCGTTCCTTTGTCTAAATTTTTGTTACATATTCTTTGTAATTGTGCGTTCTTAACCGTGTATCAATGTGTTGAATTTTAATTTCACACGATAATACAAGAGTGTTTCCTGTAATGCATTTTATTTTCGCGATTATTTCCCTTATATAGGGTCTCGTTACTAAAGAGAGATTGTCGTTAGGCTGGAAAGTTCGTGCTTGGCGTTTAACGCGTTATACGAACGATTAACCTACATTGTGAATCTAATTAGGGCTGCACAATTAAATTCCTGCGTTATGTAGCTACTCGAGATAATATTCAACGCGAAGAGACTGTGACGTAGTTTATAGAATTAACTATATAGAACAATAGAATTTTCTCCAACTACTGCGAATAATTTCCTATATATTATTTTCAAATAATATCAAATTTTATAATTAGTTTAATTAGATTCTTATACAATTTATTAATAGCAAGAAGATGAAATATATATTAGAAATTATGTAAAAATATTCAAGATTAATGTTTGATTCTGTTACACACTACATCTTTCCAAACTTATTTTTTCTCGTTTTCGCATTGATATGCACTTGTCACGTTATTCAGAGGTAAAATACTTGGTTCATTTTATTTTTAAAAACTTTAATAATTAAGTAACTATATTATTTTAAAAATATCAGTACTCTTATGCGTTTCCGTGGAATATAATAATATTACATATTATCTGAGAAAATTTTTATTCACCAATTCGCTTATTAAATAGCGAAAAAAACGTTATTTTAAGAATCTAATATATTTAATAATTGGAATAATTTCCGGATTGTTCTTTATATTATTTTCTATTCAAAATATTTAACAATTATTCTGAACGTGCGACTGCCGTGTTATCTTTGGTGATATGGCATTGTCATGGGAGACCCTGAACAATTAACGTGTTAATACTTACATACACTTTAAATGTATCTTAATTTATATGTATTATGTAGAGGAAAGTCCACTATTATGAGGCTTCTAGTATAAGATAGCAGGTTTTCAACATTCGAATTCAATTCTTTCTTCGCGACGATTACACGATCTAACTGCTTTTTCCACTAAACAGATTTCACTCTAAGGGCAATAAATTCACGATAAAACCAACAAGTGTCTATAAATTTAGTAGAAACCCCGCTATCTCATATTAGGAACATATCTCATAATAGGGCACTTTCATCTATATTCATATAATAATATTTATAAAATTATTAGTTTACGTACACTTGTAATAAATATTGGCATAAGTATAAAATGTCAGAACGAAGATTAACGCGAATTATTGAACAACGTCATTAATGTGCAAAGCGGAATCGACGACGGAGGAACTAAAGCCGACGTGCGCACATTTCTGTTATAGGTGAACATCCGGCGGCGATGCAGCATGGCGGCAGCTGTGGCGTGGCTCCGACCATTTTGCTCGCCAGCATCACCCTCATAATCGCGAACCTGTTAAGGTGAGCAGCCGCGTTGTGAATCGCGCAACCTAAAGAAAAGAGTAAGAAAGAAAGAAAGTCAAACGTGTCAACGGTCGGGAGAGACAATGTCCGAAGTGAGCGCGGCGATCGACGGTCGCGAAAATGGTACACGCTCGGAAAAATCGCCCGGCCGACCGCGATAGATCGCTTTAGCTCACGCCTCGCCGTTACACGCTGCGCGTATCCGTTCGCCGAGTGCTCGGAAGCGACGACAAGAGAATCACAGTGCGGACCGAAGTGCAGTGGACCAAAGCTCTGTGAAGGACGCGGTGACGTGGCGGATCTTTAGCACGTACGTTTTTAACACGAAAACCTTTCACAGACTCTCCATTCTTTTGTATAAAATCGTGTTAAACGCATCGCGGCAAAAAGTGTCGAATTATTCTCCACATCTTTGGTAGCACGGTTGAGCGTTCGCCAAAGGGACTCTCTTACACTTGTGCTTTTTGTATAATTAAAACGGTATGTTAACCGTGCCTCAACGAATTTGCGTGGGACTCTTTCTCTAGTGATGAAAAAAAAACTGCTCATCTCGTGATTTCGTTGCGAGGATCCCGTTAGAATTTGTATTTTAACTAATTCAATAATGGCCTCGTAGTATCCTTATGTAATGTCGATCGCAGAACGACGCTGTACTGTACTCGTTACAGAGTCGGGATCGATTGCATTGATCTGTTACGATTGCCAACGCTCTCGAATCGAGTATCGATGGCTGGATCCGTTCGATGGCTACGAAATTAATGGTTACATAAATCGAGATTTATAATCTAACGATTATCAGTTAGTTGCGTAATAATTATCAGGTGATTAAGGCTGTTGTACATAAAACGAGTAACGAGCATGTTAGGGTTTGCCGTGAACTTGTACAGTACAATGCACGTGCGAGAATTGCCGTGACCGATAATCGTTTCTTGTCGTTCGATCTGGGCAATATTGTACATAGCTTGTGTCATTGGTTATAACATAATTGTATGGTACGCATACAATCGTAAATTTGCGAAAATTCTAACTAAGCCTTGTGCCTCGGGCCTTGCGCAATTCAGCGTCTCGAGCGTGCCAGATATTTTTCCTACATCCCCTGAGTTGTATATGCACACTACGCATAATAATTTTGCCCAGATTTGACTCTTTCGGTTTTCGATGAAAACATAGACACGATATCTATTGTTGAAAAATAATTGCGTTGTTAAGGGATTGACTGCTAAAGTGAGAGTGATGCAACGATTCGTTTTTTCAAAAGATTGTGCAAAATTATTTGCAATCAAACTGTAGGTAAAATCAAATTTTCACAGTATTAATTAATATTAACATTTGCTATGTTAATATAACGATGACATACTATTGACGAAAATCAAACTCGTTGTTTGCAGTCTTCTAATGCGCGAAAAAATTATTTGGGTAGTCGAAAATTATACGAACAAATTTTTTCTAATAAAGTTTTAATTGATTTATGTTATTCACGTAAACATTTTTTCTTGAATTTACGCTTTGAATAACTGTTTAATATTAGCGAATCTGTAAGAGTTTAATTTTTTTAAAGCACATGTGAAATACAGAAAGATAATTTTTCGAAACAAGTTTCTAATTTATACAGGAACACTTGTGCGACGGAACAACTGGTCCTGTATGGAAATGAAATGAATTTAATGCAAAAATGTCACGTTTCCATTAATTTTGATTTGACTTTTGCGTGAGTTAATCGAATGAGCCGTGTTGAAGACGTTAGCACGAACAAATTGATTTTGATTTTATGAAAGAATTTAGAAAAAAATTCTACGTTAAATATTATTGCTTCTAACATGAGGGGAGAGTATTTATAGTACAGTATACGGACTTATACCATCGAAGAGAAAACCAGAACTAATCACTTTAGTAATGGTAATAGGTAGGTTGGTTCTCGATATGTTTCTGTTTGTTTAGTTCAAACAGAATTGTTTCAGCTAAACGATTCGTTACGTCGATACGTGTCTTGCTTGATTGTTCGATAATCAAAATGCAATTTGTCGAAGGTAATATTCCTCCTCCAAACAGGTCATTTCATTCTTAATTCGTTTGCAAATTTTGCTTTGAGAATATCAAAATGTTTTTCGAAAAACAAAGTGCGTCAAAATTAATTCATCGCTTAATCAAAAGCTAATCAAACGAATAACGAACGTTATATTAAAATGTATTATAAAGCTCGTGTATAGATAAGTGAATATGAAAAGATAATACGTAAATATATTTAAATAGGTCAATAATAAGCGTTCGTTATGTATCACGATAATAGTACGGAAAGTATAATTCGAAAGATCGAAATGTAATTAAAAGTTAAATAAAGGTTCCTTTGCAGAACTAACAAAAAGTCGCCTTTTACTACGATAATTCATTTGAGCTCTCTAAAATGATAAAGTGTCAGCGAATCTGATTACAATTATTATATGTAATTACATGTCAAATATTATTTCATTGTTTATGTTACAAAATCTTTTGTAAATTTTACATATTTTGCATAGAATTTAGTAGTATTTAATTTACAAGACATTTGTAAGTTTCTGAATAAACGGAAATTTTGGGGGGAGATAATAGGGCGGTTTACTTAATTTTGCAGGTAAATGAAATAACTGTATATGACGGACATGACTCCGCTAAAATTTTGCAATTTTCTTTCTTCATTATATTGATTAATATTAAATTATATAGTGGTCTTCCGACTGTAATGCCAGATTCGATATTTCCATCGGATTCTACGAAGGTTAAGCACTTAAATTATTCGTCTTCCTCTGCATTTGATTAAACCAATCAACTCAATTGATATTATCTAGTTAAGAAGGTTTAGTATTTTCAAATAACGTTTCAGATTAATTTCTTCCAATTCAAGCTACTCTTTCTGGGAAGAAAAGAGTACGAGAGGGAAAGCAAGATTTTAGATACGATGATAATTCAACGCACGTAATATAGAATATAGCAGGAAATCATTAGTGGTAGATTTATTACGACGTATAATGTAACACGAGTAAAGAAATATATCATAATGATTAAAATGTTAAGGTACGATTTATCTAAGTAACTCATAGATTTTTTATAACATTGTAGGTCGGAAAACACAAATTAGAATCTACCCGCTGAAGACTGTGAAGCATTTCTGGATTTTTATTCAGAATCGGAGAGGAAATATCGTAGTGCTATCAATTTGTATATAATTTTTCATATTATGATTATGTTAACATATTAATCGAGTCATATATGTATATTTCGGACAAAATTTGCGAAGTATATAATAATGCAGAGAGAGAGAGAGAGAGGGTGGGAGGGAGGAGAGGGAAGGCAGGAGTATAGAGACATAAAAAGTGATCAAAGTGCAAAGTGAAAAAATTGGTTAGATTGAGGAAGCACCTCCATTGAACTACTGGTATGTATCGGATCAAAGTATTTAATCAAACTCAATTCAATGGAAAAAAAAGCTTATATTCGCGATGCTCCGCGTTTCGGCGGTTTCCGATACAGATTTCACCGTGATTTTTCGTAGCGCGAACGCGTGGCTCAATTATAAGATTTAAAACTGCCTGTGCATGAAAAGTGATCAAACAGAAAAATATCGAGAGAGGTATACCTATTTGTGAATTAGATAATCAATATCCGCGATTCGCGTACTTACGGAATGTTGCACATTACATAGGTAAGAGACTAGACTGCATTGTACATAAAATTCATAATCGATTATGTATCATGTTATAAGGGAACTTAAGCATGAATCAAAAGGAGAAGATTAAAAAGCGAAAAAAAGCGATATAGATTACTACATTGTAAAAATATTCATCGACGTGAATACTGTTTCAATAAATGTAATGATGATATAAAAAATACTTCTACACTTTTGTACTTTGCTCCTCCCGTTCGATGATTTTTGTCAAGCGAGCGCGCATTTTTCTTTACATGACAAACAAGACTTATACGATATTGCATGTTATGGAAATTTTGTATGTTATCTTTTCCTCATTCTGTTAGTAGGTAATATTTTTAGTAAAACTGGAATTTTTTGTCCAAATTTTTTTACTAGCTAGAAGAGAGATCGAAACTAGGAAACAGTTTAAATTTCTCTGTTACGTATAGAGAGACAATTTCGACAAGAAAAATATATGTGGATACGAATTATGTTTTCAACAGTATTTTTAAAAATATTTCTTCCTTTCGCTCAATCGAAAAAAATACTTTCAACTATGCGCGTATTGTAATGTATCTCGCATGTTTAATCGAATCTTCATCGTTTTTATGTCTGGAGATTAACGTTGCACAAAACTCTGTGCACAGCATTTATATAATATAGACAGAAATATTTATATATTTCCGTTTTTTTAACGAACACGCGCGCCGCTTTTTTAATTAGATACGAAAACGGTTGATTTTAATTGGTACACGGTTCGTACATAACGATTTCTCCATTGCGTACGTTGTACATTGCGTGCGTTTTATGCGTGGGAAATGCTAGACGGGAAAAACGATGTTCGCGCGTACTAACGCGAAACATGCACGGGAAGCATCTTTTATTTATCATACGCGGCTGCTTCGAAACTCGTTGTAACAAAATTAACGAAATTGCGGAGACATTCATAACGAAGCCGCCGCTCACTCTTAATTTCTTTAATGGCACTAATGGACTAATTGCACGAAGCAAATTGCGATTTTAATGGAATATCGCGAAATAAATTCAGGGAAATTAAAATGAAACGGCAAGCACACTGAAATATTTAAACATTAATTTACCGCCGCGCGAAGCATAATGTTGCAATTTATACGAATAATACGAAAGAGTTATATTAAGCATTTTGTTTAGGAAATAAATTAGAGGGATGCACCCTTCTCCACATATTCATATTCCTCCATACCCGCGCTTTACACATTATCGTTGCTAGATACGCAATACCTAATTTCATTAGGTTGCTAGTAATAAATAACAATAAATAAGTTTAGTCGCCCTTAACTGGCACGTGTTTAATAAAATAAAATAAAATACAGTGCGACGTTTCGACCAAGGGTTTAGGTTCTTTTCAAGCACCTAAGTCATTCTCCGGCCTTTGTACACAGCGTACATACATACTTTATCTTTATGCTTGTTAATTTTTATAATTACGACTCACCTCCTTTGGACAAAAATCGACCAAACTTATTTATTGTTATCGAGTTTCAGTTTTCTTTGCTAAAAATGTAACGCGTTACAGTTACAGTTACTCAAAAAATAATGTATCGTTACTTTGCAGTTATGTTCTTGCAATGAAAATAAAAATATCTAATCTGCATTTGAATTGTTAAGTGTCGATAAAGGCGTTCATGCGCAAATGCCTAATGCGATCTGTGGAGGTTTAAAATATATACAAAGTAACTATTAATGTAACTATTAAATTAGTTACTAGTTATCGAAAAAATGTAACTGATTGTGAGCTAAGTTACAGTTACAGATGGAGAGAAGGTAATGAAGTTAAGTTAGAGTTACCGAAAAAAGTAACTGAAACTGTAACTTCGTTACAAGTAACGAGTTATTTCCCGACCCAGGTCATAAGTGTACTACTGGAAGTCGCAGTGGTATACTTGTAACTTTAATTCGGTGACTTCACTGCTTTCTGTGATAATTCACCATTTAGAGAGCGGCAATTCTTTAAATAGTGAAAATCAACTGTTCTCCCCTATCGCTTTTCTTCATTTGCAACCATTATTTATACGTAATCGTCACTGGATTTATAAAAAAAAATGGACGATCGCTATATCCGTTATTTTTAACGGACGCGGTCGCAACGCGGAATCGCAATCACCGAGCAGCCATTGAGCGACTTCCGGGCGTTCGAGGGGCAGTGAATTCGCGCATTGTCCCGCAGTTTTTCTTCCCCGGCGCACGTGTGCGACATTTCGCGCCGGGGTAACGGTGGCTCCGGGCAGCGAGGGAAAACTGCGGCATAGTTAAACGCGATACGCGCGAGGTAAGCCCCGGCCCATCTACTACGTGTACCCCGGCTGTTTCCAACTTGGCCGCTACGACAATTAACGAACGCCAGAGCGACGGGGTCGGCGGGCGCTGTCGCGCAATTCGCCGGCGATGCCGCGATTGCGCCGGGCGAAACGCGTCAAAACGGGACAGCACGAGAATTTCCGAAATCGAATAAACGGGGACAACGGGCAGCCGGGTGGATCGACAGAAGCCGAAATTGGCGAAGAAGAGAAATAGCGCTTGATAAGCGTATCTTGGAAAAAAAAAACCCGGCGAGGGGCGGGCGAATATCCAATGCTCGTCGTTATTTTTCTTTCCTTTTTCCGCGCACCACGCACGATCGCACAGACATGGATATATTATATGAATGACGCTGAAATTTTTGGGCACGTTTCGCGGGAAACGATTTTAATTGATAGGCGTTAACTCTTTCATTCCAATAATACCGCGCGATACCGCTTTTTAATATCCATACATTCGCACGTGAAATTGTTTAATATACTTTTCGGGGACCGCAAAGTTTTATTAAATGCTGCCTATTCCCCAACAATGTCAATTCAGAACATATGTTGCGCGACGCGAGTGTTGGCGGCGGAGCGCCATTTTTTTCGAGTTACTTTAGGCGCCAATTTACGGTTAAAGTTTTTTAACATATTGGCTGTGATGTAACAGCAATATTTTACGCCTTGCGTTTCCATCGCCCGCATTTATAGTGTCCCATAAGCGCGCGGGCGCGCGCGCGCGCGTGTGTAAAAAAGGATTTTCAGGACAAGGATAAACTACCGCGGAAAGAGCGAGGACAAAACGTAATGGCGGACCCGCGTTTCTTTTTCGGCGATATCGGCCTGTCGAGGCGTTTACACGAGGCACTGACACGAGATTGCGCAGCGACAGCTAATTTCCGGTATAACGTGGGGAAAAAAATTATTCTGCCAATAAAAACTGTTTACCATCTTGCCCCGGTTAACGCGCGATTCAATTTCATTGTAACGAACAACTCGGACGCACCCCTCCCGTCTCGCTGACCTCCCCTCGCGCGCAAAAAGCCGGGCCGACTCTCGACTATCGAAAAACAATTAAACGGATAAAATATCGGCAAACACCGCCCAATGGACGGTTGATATTTTATCAGCTGTTCGGCAACCCGTCGGCATCTCGTTGGAAACGAGCGCACGCTGCGAGGGTTGCAGCGAAACACGCCCGACGTCCTATCAGATTAAGAAACCGCTATTTTATCGCAGCTGTCATGTGTCCACTGGGATGCCAGTTGAGTTTCGTTTCTTCCAAGGATTCGGGCTGTACCGTACAATAGACAACTTTTGTGCTTGTGAAAATATTAATGTGATATATCAAATGAGTTAGAAAAGCGCCCGTTTTGTAAGAGATAAAGAATAGTTGAATGATTTGACCGTTGAAAGAAGTACGAAGTTCTCTCTAAAAGTCAATCAGTGGATGTTGAAAACCTGCTGTCTCATATTAGAAGCCGCTCTCATAATAGGAGACTTTCCCCTATAGCACTGAATTATTCAGTAGTAACGTTTACTCGGTAGTAAAGTTCACTTGTAACTGTTTCCAGTGATAATGCACCGATTGACTTTTAGGAAGTTTGTTAAGTGTTTTAGCTCTCTCTTATTTAAAGCCATATTATTCTTACGAAATTGTTAACGATGATAACTGACAATATTTTACTCGCGTGTGCAAGGGAAAATGTATTGAAACGTTATACATTTTAAAGTATAATTATATTTTTTTATGTTTTACATAGAAACTGTTTCAGCATTAAACTTTCATTATTTCACTACTCATTAAACGTGGAAGCTTTTAGAATTCCATTGGACTGTAACATAGTTTATTTACTGTTGCTACGGAATGTCGGCTTACTTAAAAGAGTGGAGAACGTTAATATGTAGAAATAGGCAATGTTTTAAACGCAGATTATCAGCACAATAATTGCGATTCTTTGATAAAATCGAGATACTTGTAAACATTAGTGTAAACATCAGATATTCCCAAAGCGCAGGGCGAGATCCTAGAAGCGACACCGACGAGCTCGCCGTCGACTACGAGCGGCCCACCGCTGTCACCCTGGAAAAAGTGCGACAATAAAGTTTTTATCAGCAATTTATAGAAGTAAATGACGGAACAACGTTCAAACAATTAGACAACTTAGTCCTCGAAAACGCCGTATTTAATTTATTAATGTCTCTTAGCGAAAAGCTGTACGCATACTTAACGTTCGTGAGATGAATTATGCATAAGATAAAAAGTAAGTGGAAAAGTGACTTACTAGACAAGCGCCCTTCCCTCTTTCCGTGCATATCTGATTCTCGTTGGTGCGTGGATTTTTGTGATCACTCAGGCAGCGTTCTTGGCTCAAAATGTTCACGCTAAGCCATTTAAGTATTGGCGAGATAGATCCACTTATTTTCGATTTTCCCCATCCGCTCACAATACCCCGCTCATCGCCGTTAACATGGTTCTTACTTGTTAAGGGAATCGGACCTTGCACGCTGTTTATCTTGATCGGTTTCTTCAGCTACGCGAACGGACGTTCGCACAAATTGCGACACGAGTTGAATAAAAATTGGAATAACCGAGATTGTTTCTTCTACTATGACACTAATCTTATTCACTTTCCAGATACTTGAACTTACAGTGATCACGGCGATATCATCCTTCCAGCCACCGTCCCTTTCATCACTGTAGTTCGGGTGTATTCGAATGGATTTGATGTCGTGCCTGTCGCCTTCCGCTGCCAGGTTGATGGTTCCGCTTACGACAACCTGCAAGTTAACTTATTAATTCGATAAGATGGAAGTGGAAGGATTAAAAATTTTTTAATCACATTAATGCAAAAGAGAAATGGAATAACAGAAGAAAAAGGAAACACTGCGCGAATGAGTTAGAAGACGATATTATATTCGATCTTGATTACGTGAATAGTATTTATTGCATGACAAGTTGTACTTTCATTTGATTAATGGAGAAATATTTACATATTCAGTTAATTCAGCTATTAATTGAGAATAACTGAGTTAATACACAACAGCTCTCTTAATAGCTCTGTTAATGCATGGAATAACGAGGAAATCAGGAACACAGATACTAAATACCATAATACTAACGTTATATGTATTATGTAAATACCAGAATAATAATCTGAATACACCCGATGAAATTTAACTCAATTACTCGAATAATATTCATCATTCCCTAAATAGCTTTGTTAGATACGAGTAGAGCTTAGAGAGAGATACGACACAGAAGTAGAATTCGGTATAAATAATTATAAAGTTCCAAATTATTTCTAATTCTGACTAACAGTAATTTTATTATTGATTTGAATATTTCGCTTTTCTCTCTCGAGAAAAATAATCTTTTTGAAGCGATCTAAAATAAAAATAATTTATTTTAATAATACAAAAACATCTTTCTATATCGCTGCGGGTTAATAATGAAATTTTGCTGATGTAAAATAATTACATACCATGTCCGTGTAAATCCGACTGCTTATGCAATGAGCAGCGCACTATGGGACGTTTCGCCTATTTTGTGGCCAAAATATCAAAGATTTGTTTTCATGAGTTGAACGTCCGTATATTGGGGTTTTTGGGGTCGCTGATTTCGAATATGACATTAAAAATTAGAAATACAAAATGGCGGATCCAATATGGCACCCGAAAATATTAAAAATTGCTTGTTTTGCATAAAGATGAAACCTGGGGGGTTTCTAAGGGGTTTTCGAGGTCGTTGATTTTGAATATGACTTAAAAATTATAAATACAAAATGGCGAATCCAATATGGCGCCCGACAAAATTATATTATAAAATTGTCGATCAAAACTTGATATTGAAAATGACTGTTAAAACTTATTAATTAATAACGACTTATTCAATATTTTTGTCTTCC